AAAGCCTCTCTCACTTTACAAAGATCCTGTCCCATTAAAGAGCTTAGTAAAGCCATTAAAGCCCCATACCATTCTTGAGGTCCCAGTTGAATTAAGCTTTCCTTCATATCTCTGGTGAACACAGTCTTATCTGGCCCAGTGAACTGGACATCATATATTGCTTTTCTCATACCTAGTTCTCTCGTAATGCTTGTCCCTCCCTTATCATCCTCCAGCCCCTGCTAATCATGTTAGTCATCCTTGGTAACAACCAGGTGTCTTTAATGCCTTCAACCAGCCATCCTATTAAGGATTGCTCGCCCCCCTGCATTGGCTAGGTTGAACAGCCTATATTGTAAGGATGGATGGGTGGTTATATAACTCAGCTGTGAAGCTTCTGAAGGACTTAGACTGACGTCATTTGTGCCCATGTCCCATACTCTCACAAGCCTGGTGACTAGGGGCTCTCTGCTTTCTTGTAAGTTTTTTCCTGGTTTTAACAGTTCTAGTATGGAATATTTCCTAGCTACAGCACTGTTAGCCTTTTTTTCCTTTTGTATCAAAGGTTGAATCTGAGGGGCAGCTTTAGCTACTTTTATTTTTGGGTCATTTTCCTTTTTACTAGTATCTGTCTCTTTCTCTGAGTCCTTGGACCTTACACAAGTTAAAGTGTCCCGCTTTTTTTTTTCTTCTCAAGCTCTGCAGCTGGGTCTGCCAGGATCTCCCCAGCCCTTTCAGCTTCCCCTGCTGGTGACACACCTTTTATTATGCAAAGTGGCCACGCCCCCTCTCTGGGTTCTCCATTTGGGTCCAAAGCAGGTACAAGTTTTTCTAGCCTTTGGGTAACCTTTAACAAATCTTCACATACCCACAACATATCCCACATTTACAACATAGCTGTGACCCACGCTTCTGCGTGGCTGGCCTCTCTTTAGTTACAGATTTTATAATCCATTGTATAACCCATGTGACTACCGCTAACCCCCTTTAAGTGTATGGGTTTTGATTGGCTTCTCTCCTGGGTTCCAAGCAGCTGCTCCTGGATTTGGGAATCAGAACTCAGCTGACCTGCCACAGAGAGAGCAGGAACAGCACTGCTTTCCCAGACCCACATCCGCAAGGCTGTGGTTCATTTATCGGGGCCAGAGTAAGCCACTTTTGTTGCCACAGTTCTCTCTGGGTCTCTTGGGCTGTCAAGCAAACCATATAACATATCTTTATGTGCATTTATTATTATCATGGGAGAGGGAGGGGAGTGACTTACAAAGAAACGAGCATCCAGTGCCTAGCTCTGCACTACTCAGTTCTACACTGCACAGCTCTGCACTGCAGCTCAGAGCCTGCCTTGCCAGATTGCTCCTGCAGCACGCCAGCAGTCTAGCCCCAGGTCCATAAGTGCCAGGCCATTCTGTCCTTGAGTATGCCTCGCTGCTGCACGCTCCCCACTCCCACCGCTGTGCGTTCCTGGCAGCTCGTGGCTCCCATCCCAAGATGGCACCACAAGCCCTCCTTGCAGTTTCCAGGGCTAACTCTCCACAGTCAATTCTCCACAGCAGGCCCACCCCTTGGAGGAACCAGAACCCCTGGGGAACACTTCTGACTCCACTAGCCACCTTTGACAACTACCTAGAATCTTTACTCCTATTCTTATTACCCACTACCCTTCCTACACTGTCTCTTCTTCTCACTTCTGTAAGCTGAGCTCTTCTTGTCCATCTTTCATCTTCATACATACCTTCCTTGCCTCCTTGAATTAGTTTCATAAGCTGCAAGAAGGGGCCTTTAAGCAAGACCATGTGCTCTACTGGCCATCCCTGAGCCTGAATTAGGGTGGTTCTCCTGTCCCAGAGCAGCCCAGAGCAGCCTGGCTGAGCAAAGCATGGAATCAGCACTGTGGAGAGTGCCTGGGAGATGGGGAGTTGTAGGAGCCAGACCCCCTGCACTCTTCTTGTCACCTTCTTTGAGGAGATCTGCCCAAAGATCTCATATATGGACAGAGCTTACCATTTCTATAGTCGTTTCTTTTGAGATGGTATCTCCTTGAAGCCCAGCTGACCTGAAACTTGAAATGTAGACTAGGCTGTCATTGATCTCATGGAGATCTACCTGCCTCTGCCTCTGCCTCCTGGGTGCTGGAATTAAAGACATGTGTCAGCACACCAGGCTACAAAACAAATCTTTCAAAACTTCCTTAATGTGTAATTCACATGCCATAAAATTTACAATTTAAAGCATACAAGTTTAGAACATTAGGAGTTCTGGGTCATTCTCAGCTACATGATGAGTTTGAGGTCAGCCTCATGAAACTGTCTCAGAAGGAAAAAAACAGGGGCTGGAAAGATGGTTCACTCACTGCTTTTGCAGAGGACCCAGATTTATAACTCAGCACCCACATGACAGCTAACAACCATCAGTAATTCCAACTCCAGGGAATCTGATACCCTCTTCTGCCCTCCACAGGCATTGCACACACCGGTGCACTTACCTGTATACAGGAAAAGCACTCATACACATAAAGTTTAAAAAGAAAAAGAGGAACTGGAGAAATGGCTTAAGAGCACTGGCTGTTCTTGCAGGGGACCTGGGTTTGGTTCCCAGATCCATATCATTAGCTCCACTTCGAGGGGATCCAATGTTCTCTTCTGACCTCCATTGACCTTTCACAACACAGGTACACTGACATGCGTGAGGCAATACACTCATACACATAAAATAAAAATAATAAAATATTTTTTAAAAGGAAAAGATAAAAATAAGGGTGGTGAGGCAGGTGGATCTCTGTGAGTTCAAGGCCAGCCTGGTCTACATAGTGAGTCCCAGGACAGCTTGGGCTACAGGGAGACCCTGTCTCAAAAAGACCAAAACAA